TTAGAGTGTAAACTCTGTGAACAGGACCTCCTTATCTGCGTTGCAGAATTCATATTAGACTGTAGACATGTGCATTCATTTTCGGACAATTACGATTTCGTCTGAAAATTCTGTTTTTTTCGTATTCGTTTACTAAAACGTAAACGAAAGCCCTACATACGAAATATAAATTAAACGAAAGGGCAAATGCCGAATGGATTACCTTTTTGTTTAGTTTCTTTTGTTTAATCGACTCCGTGCTGCAGGGGAATTAACCCCACAGAACGGAGAAAATAGCAGTGTGCATGCAAGGAAAAAAAGCATGGAGGGAGCCGGCAGTGCTACCATATAAATATTAATTCCTTCCCCCCCAGCCACTGGCTGCTCGCTGTTTAGGCGACATTCCCCTACCTGCCGCATGCCACGAGTAGGGGCACGTGGAAGAATTTAACTCTATGAGCACTGATCTTCTTATTATTATTATTGTACCATTTACATTAGAGTGTAAGCTCTGTGAGCAGAGACCTCTTTTTCTGTATTGTACCATTCATATTAGAGTGTAATCTCTGTGAGCAGGGACCTCCTTCTCTGTATTTCACCATTCATATTAGAGTGTAAGCTCTCTGAGCAGGGACCTCTGTTTCTGTATTTTCCATTAATATTAGAATGTAAGCTCTTTGAGCGCAGTCCTCCCTCTCAGTATTGTACCATTCATATTAGAGTGTAAGCTCTGTGAAAAGGGACCACCTTATTTGCATTGTACCATTCATATTAGACTGTAAGCTCTGTGACCAGAGACCTCTTTCTCTGTATTGTACTGTTTATGTTACAGTGCAAGATCTTTAAGCAGGGCCTCTTTCTCTTTATTGTATCATTCATATTTGAGTGTAAGCTCTGTGAGCAAGGACTTCCTTTCTGCATTGCACTGTTCATATTAGACTGTAGGCTCTGTGAGCAGTGATTTCCTTCTATGTATTGTACCATTCATATTAGAGTGTAAGTTCTGTGAGCAATGACCTCCTTCTCTGTGTTGTGTTGTTCATATTAGACTGTAAGCTCTGTGAGCAAGGACCTCCGTGTCTGTATTGTAACATTTATATTAGAGTGTAAGCTCTGTGAGCAGGAATCTCCTTCTGCTCTCAGTATTTTCCAAAAATATTAGAATGTAAGCTCGGTGAGCAGGGACCTCATTCTCTGTATTATGCTATTCATATTAGACTGTACGTTCTGTGACCAGAGGCTTCTGCATTTCCAATGATGTTTTCCAATAATATTAGAGTGTAAGCTCTGTGAAAAGGGACCACCTTATTTGCATTGTACCATTCATATTAGAGTGTAAGCTCTGTGACCAGAGACCTCTTTCTCTGTATTGTACTGTTTATGTTACAGTGCAAGATCTTTAAACAGGGCCTCTTTCTCTGTATTGTATCATTCATATTTGAGTGTAAGCTCTGTGAGCAAGGACTTCCTTTCTGCATTGCACTGTTCATATTAGACTGTAGGCTCTGTGAGCAGTGATTTCCTTCTATGTATTGTACCATTCATATTAGAGTGTAAGTTCTGTGAGCAATGACCTCCTTCTCTGTGTTGTGTTGTTCATATTAGACTGTAAGCTCTGTGAGCAAGGACCTCCGTGTCTGTATTGTAACATTTATATTAGAGTGTAAGCTCTGTGAGCAGGAATCTCCTTCTGCTCTCAGTATTTTCCAACAATATTTGTGTGTAAGCTCTGTGAGCAGGGACCTTCTTCTCTGTATTGTACCATTCATATTAGACTGTAAGCTCTGTGACGAGGGACCTCCGTTTCTGTATTTTTCAATAATATTTAAGTGTAAGCTCTGTGAGCAGGGACCTCCCTCTCAGTATTGTAACATTCATATTAGAGTTTAAGCTCTGTGAGCAGGGACCTTTCTTTGTATTGTATCATTCATATTACAGTGTAAGCTCTGTGACCAGAGACCTCTTTCTCTGTATTGTAGTATTCATATTAGTATTGTACTGTTTATATTAAACTGTACAATTCATATTTGACTGTGAACTCTGTGAGCAAGGATCTCCTTCTCTGTATTGTGATGTCCATATTATACTGTAAGCTCTGTGACCAGGGACCTCCATCTGTATTTTCCAATTATATTAGAGTGTAAACTCTGTGAACAGGACCTCCTTATCTGCGTTGCAGAATTCATATTAGACTGTAGACATGTGCATTCATTTTCGGACAATTACGATTTCGTCTGAAAATTCTGTTTTTTTCGTATTCGTTTACTAAAACGTAAACGAAAGCCCTACATACGAAATATAAATTAAACGAAAGGGCAAATGCCGAATGGATTACCTTTTTGTTTAGTTTCTTTTGTTTAATCGACTCCGTGCTGCAGGGGAATTAACCCCACAGAACGGAGAAAATAGCAGTGTGCATGCAAGGAAAAAAAGCATGGAGGGAGCCGGCAGTGCTACCATATAAATATTAATTCCTTCCCCCCCAGCCACTGGCTGCTCGCTGTTTAGGCGACATTCCCCTACCTGCCGCATGCCACGAGTAGGGGCACGTGGAAGAATTTAACTCTATGAGCACTGATCTTCTTATTATTATTATTGTACCATTTACATTAGAGTGTAAGCTCTGTGAGCAGAGACCTCTTTTTCTGTATTGTACCATTCATATTAGAGTGTAATCTCTGTGAGCAGGGACCTCCTTCTCTGTATTTCACCATTCATATTAGAGTGTAAGCTCTCTGAGCAGGGACCTCTGTTTCTGTATTTTCCATTAATATTAGAATGTAAGCTCTTTGAGCGCAGTCCTCCCTCTCAGTATTGTACCATTCATATTAGAGTGTAAGCTCTGTGAAAAGGGACCACCTTATTTGCATTGTACCATTCATATTAGACTGTAAGCTCTGTGACCAGAGACCTCTTTCTCTGTATTGTACTGTTTATGTTACAGTGCAAGATCTTTAAGCAGGGCCTCTTTCTCTGTATTGTATCATTCATATTTGAGTGTAAGCTCTGTGAGCAAGGACTTCCTTTCTGCATTGCACTGTTCATATTAGACTGTAGGCTCTGTGAGCAGTGATTTCCTTCTATGTATTGTACCATTCATATTAGAGTGTAAGTTCTGTGAGCAATGACCTCCTTCTCTGTGTTGTGTTGTTCATATTAGACTGTAAGCTCTGTGAGCAAGGACCTCCGTGTCTGTATTGTAACATTTATATTAGAGTGTAAGCTCTGTGAGCAGGAATCTCCTACTGCTCTCAGTATTTTCCAAAAATATTAGAATGTAAGCTCGGTGAGCAGGGACCTCATTCTCTGTATTATGCTATTCATATTAGACTGTACGTTCTGTGACCAGAGGCTTCTGCATTTCCAATGATGTTTTCCAATAATATTAGAGTGTAAACTCTGTGAAAAGGGACCACCTTATTTGCATTGTACCATTCATATTAGAGTGTAAGCTCTGTGACCAGAGACCTCTTTCTCTGTATTGTACTGTTTATGTTACAGTGCAAGATCTTTAAGCAGGGCCTCTTTCTCTGTATTGTATCATTCATATTAGAGTGTAAGCTCTGTGAGCAAGGACTTCCTTCTCTGCATTGCAGTGTTCATATTAGACTGTAGGCTCTGTGATCAGTGATTTCCTTCTATGTATTGTACCATTCATATTAGAGTGTAAGCTCTGTGAGCAATGACCTCCTTCTCTGTGTTGTGCTGTTCATATTAGACTGTAAGCTCTGTGAGCAAGGACCTCCGTGTCTGTATTGTAACATTTATATTAGAGTGTAAGCTCTGTGAGCAGGCATCTCCTTCTGCTCTCAGTATTTTCCAAAAATATTAGAATGTAAGCTCTGTGAGCAGGGACCTCATTCTCTGTATTATGCTATTCATATTAGACTGTAAGTTCTGTGACCAGGGACTTCTGTATTTTCAATGATATTTTCCCTTAATATTAGACTGCAAGCTCTGTTAGCAGGGACCACCTTCTCTGTATTGTACCATTCATATTATAGTGTAAGTGCTATATTGTACCATTCATATTAGAATGTAAACTCTGTGACCAGGGACCTCCGTGTCTTTAATTTTCAACAATATTTGTGTGTAAGCTCTGTGAGCAGGGACCTTCTTCTCTGTATTGTACCATTCATATTAGACTGTAAGCTCTGTGACGAGGGACCTCCGTTTCTGTATTTTTCAATAATATTTAAGTGTAAGCTCTGTGAGCAGGGACCTCCCTCTCAGTATTGTAACATTCATATTAGAGTTTAAGCTCTGTGAGCAGGGACCTTTCTTTGTATTGTATCATTCATATTACAGTGTAAGCTCTGTGACCAGAGACCTCTTTCTCTGTATTGTAGTATTCATATTAGTATTGTACTGTTTATATTAAACTGTACAATTCATATTTGACTGTGAACTCTGTGAGCAAGGACCTCCTTCTCTGTATTGTGATGTCCATATTATACTGTAAGCTCTGTGACCAGGGACCTCCGTCTGTATTTTCCAATTATATTAGAGTGTAAACTCTGTGAACAGGACCTCCTTATCTGCGTTGCACAGTTCATATTAGACTGTAGACATGTGCATTCATTTTCGGACAATTACGATTTCGTCTGAAAATTCAGTTTTTTTTGTATTCGTTTACTAAAACGTAAACGAAAGCCCTACATACGAAATATAAATTAAACGAAAGGGCAAATGCCGAATGGATTACATTTTTGCTTAGTTTCTTTTGTTTAATCGACTCCGTGCTGCAGGGGAATTAACCCCACAGAACGGAGAAAATAGCAGTGTGCATGCAAGGAAAAAAAGCATGGAGGGAGCCGGCAGTGCTACCATATAAATATTAATTCCTTCCCCCCCAGCCACTGGCTGCTCGCTGTTTAGGCACATTCCCCTACCTGCCGAATGCCACGAGTAGGGGCACGTAGAAGAATTTAACTCTATGAGCTCTGATCTTCTTCTTATTATTATTGTACCATTTACATTAGAGTGTAAGCTCTGTGAGCAGAGACCTCTTTTTCTGTATTGTACCATTCATATTAGAGTGTAATCTCTGTGAGCAGGGACCTCCTTCTCTGTATTTCACCATTCATATTAGAGTGTAAGCTCTCTGAGCAGGGACCTCTGTTTCTGTATTTTCCATTAATATTAGAATGTAAGCTCTGTGACCAGGGACCTCCGTCTCTCTATTTTACAATAATATTTGAGTGTAAGCTCAGTGAGCAGCAACTTCCCTCTCTGTGTTGCACCATTCATATTAGACTGTAAGCTCTGTGAGCAAAAACCTACTCTCTGTATTATAGTATTTATACTAGAGTGTAAGCTCTCTGAGCAGATACCTCCGTCTCTGTATTTTCCAATAATATTAGAGTGTAAGCTCTCTGAGTAGGGACCTCCTTTTCTGTATTGCAACATTCATATTAGAGTTTTAGCTTTTCTCTGTATTGTATTGTACTGTTTATGTTACAGTGCAAGATCTTTAAGCAGGGCCTCTTTCTCTGTATTGTATCATTCATATTTGAGTGTAAGCTCTGTGAGCAAGGATTTCCTTTCTGCATTGCACTGTTCATATTAGACTGTAGGCTCTGTGATCAGTGATTTCCTTCTATGTATTGTACCATTCATATTAGAGTGCAAGCTCTGTGAGCAAGAGGTCTCTGGTCACAGAGCTTACACTCTAATATGAATGGTACAATGCAAATAAGGTGGTCCCTTTTCACAGAGCTTACACTCTAATATTATTGGAAAACATCATTGGAAATGCAGAAGCCTCTGGTCACAGAACGTACAGTCTAATATGAATAGCATAATACAGAGAATGAGGTCCCTGCTCACCGAGCTTACATTCTAATATTTTTGGAAAATACTGAGAGCAGAAGGAGATTCCTGCTCACAGAGCTTACACTCTAATATAAATGTTACAATACAGACACGGAGGTCCTTGCTCACAGAGCTTACAGTCTAATATGAACAGCACAACACAGAGAAGGAGGTCATTGCTCACAGAGCTTACACTCTAATATGAATGGTACAATACATAGAAGGAAATCACTGCTCACAGAGCCTACAGTCTAATATGAACAGTGCAATGCAGAAAGGAAGTCCTTGCTCACAGAGCTTACACTCAAATATGAATGATACAATACAGAGAAAGAGGCCCTGTTTAAAGATCTTGCACTGTAACATAAACAGTACAATACAGAGAAAGAGGTCTCTGGTCACAGAGCTTACACTCTAATATGAATGGTACAATGCAAATAAGGTGGTCCCTTTTCACAGAGCTTACACTCTAATATTATTGGAAAACATCATTGGAAATGCAGAAGCCTCTGGTCACAGAATGTACAGTCTAATATGAATAGCATAATACAGAGAATGAGGTCCCTGCTCACCGAGCTTACATTCTAATATTTTTGGAAAATACTGAGAGCAGAAGGAGATTCCTGCTCACAGAGCTTACACTCTAATATAAATGTTACAATACAGACACGGAGGTCCTTGCTCACAGAGCTTACAGTCTAATATGAACAACACAACACAGAGAAGGAGGTCATTGCTCACAGAACTTACACTCTAATATGAATGGTACAATACATAGAAGGAAATCACTGCTCACAGAGCCTACAGTCTAATATGAACAGTGCAATGCAGAAAGGAAGTCCTTGCTCACAGAGCTTACACTCAAATATGAATGATACAATACAGAGAAAGAGGCCCTGCTTAAAGATCTTGCACTGTAACATAAACAGTACAATACAGAGAAAGAGGTCTCTGGTCACAGAGCTTACAGTCTAATATGAATGGTACAATGCAAATAAGGTGGTCCCTTTTCACAGAGCTTACACTCTAATATGAATGGTACAATACTGAGAGGGAGGACTGCGCTCAAAGAGCTTACATTCTAATATTAATGGAAAATACAGAAACAGAGGTCCCTGCTCAGAGAGCTTACACTCTAATATGAATGGTGAAATACAGAGAAGGAGGTCCCTGCTCACAGAGATTACACTCTAATATGAATGGTACAATACAGAAAAAGAGGTCTCTGCTCACAGAGCTTACACTCTAATGTAAATGGTACAATAATAATAATAAGAAGATCAGTGCTCATAGAGTTAAATTCTTCCACGTGCCCCTACTCGTGGCATGCGGCAGGTAGGGGAATGTCGCCTAAACAGCGAGCAGCCAGTGGCTGGGGGGGAAGGAATTAATATTTATATGGTAGCACTGCCTGCTCCCTCCATGCTTTTTTTCCTTGCATGCACACTGCTATTTTTTCCGTTCTGTGGGGTTAATTCCCCTGCAGCACGGAGTCGATTAAACAAAAGAAACTAAACAAAAAGGTAATCCATTCGGCATTTGCCCTTTTGTTTAATTTATATTTCGTATGTAGGGCTTTCGTTTACGTTTTAGTAAACGTATACAAAAAAAACAGATTTTTCAGACGAAATCGTAATTGTCCGAAAATGAATGCACATGTCTACAGTCTAATATGAATTGTGCAACGCAGATAAGGAGGTCCTGTTCACAGAGTTTACACTCTAATATAATTGGAAAATACAGATGGAGGTCCCTGGTCACAGAGCTTACAGTATAATATGGACATCACAATACAGAGAAGGAGGTCCTTGCTCACAGAGTTCACAGTCAAATATGAATTGTACAGTTTAATATAAACAGTACAATACTAATATGAATACTACAATACAGAGAAAGAGGTCTCTGGTCACAGAGCTTACACTGTAATATGAATGGTACAATACAAAGAAAGGTCCCTGCTCAGAGAGCTTACACTTAAATATTATTGAAAAATACAGAAACGGAGGTCCCTCGTCACAGAGCTTACAGTATAATATGAATGGTACAATACAGAGAAGAAGGTCCCTGCTCACAGAGCTTACACACAAATATTGTTGAAAAATACAGACACGGGGGTCCCTGGTCACAAAAATTACATTCTAATATGAATTGTTTAACACAGAGAATGAGGTCCCTGCTCACGGAGCTTACATTCTAATATCATTGGAAAATACAGAGAAGGAGATCATTGCTCACAGAGCTTAAACTGTAATATAAACAGTACAATACAGAGAAAGAGATCTCTGGTCACAGAGCTTACACTGTAATATGAATGGTACAATACAAAGAAGGAGGTCCCAGCTCACAGAGCTTACACTCTTAAATACTGGAAAATACAGAGAGGGTGATCCCTGGTCACAAAAATTACAGTCTAATATGAATTGTATCACACCGAGAAGGAGGTCTCTGCTCACAAAGCTTGCACTCTAATATGACTGTTACAATACAGAGAGGGTGATCCCTGGTCACAAAAATTACAGTCTAATATGAATTGTATCACACTGAGAAGAGGTCTCTGCTCACAAAGCTTACACTGTAATGTGAATGTTACAATACAGAGAGGGAGGTCCCTGCTCACAGAGCTTACACTCAAATATTATTGAAAAATACAGACACGGAGGTCCCTCGTCACATAGCTTACAGTCTAATATGAATGGTATAATACAAAGAAGAAGGTCCCTGCTCACAGAGCTTACACACAAATATTGTTGCAAAAAACAGACACGGAGGTCCCTGGTCACAGAGCTTATACTCTATTGTGAGCGCTTACACTATAATATGAATGGTTCAATACAGAGAAGGTGGTCCCTGCTAACAGAGCTTGCAGTCTAATATTAAGGGAAAATATCACTGAAAATACAGAAGCCCCTGGTCACAGAACTTACAGTCTAATATGAATAGCATAATACAGAGAATGAGGTCCCTGCTCACAGAGCTTACACTCTAATATGAATGTTACAATACAGACACGGAGGTCCTTGCTCACAGAGCTTACAGTCTTATATGAACAGCACAATACAGAGAAGGAGGTCATTGCTCACAGAGCTTACACTCTAATATGAATGGTACAATACATAGAAGGAAATCACTGCTCACAGCCCTTCAGTCTAATATGAACAGTGCAATGAAGAGAAGGAAGTCCTTGCTCACAGAGCTTACACTCAAATATGAATGATACAATACTGAGAAAGAGGTCCTGCTTAAAGATCTTGCACTCTAACATAAACAGTACAATACAGAGAAAGAGGTCTTTGGTCACAGAGCTTACACTCTAATATGAATGTTACAATACAGAAAAAATGGTCTCTGCTCACAGAGCTTACACTCTAATTTGAACAATGCAATACAGAGAAGGAGGTCCTTGCTCACAGAGCTTACACTCGAATATGAATGGTATAATACAGAGGAGGTCCTACTCATAGAGTTTATACTCTAATATGAATGGTACAATGTAAATAAGGTGGTCCCTGTTCACAGAGCTTACACTCTAATATTATTGGAAAACATCATTGGAAATGCAGAAGCCCCTGGTCACAGAACATACAGTCTAATATGAATAGCATAATACAGAGAATGAGGTCCCTGCTCACAGAGCTTGCACTCTAATATGAATGGTACAATACACAGAAGGAAATCACTGCTCACAGAGCTTACAGTCTAATATGAATCGTACAATACAGAGAAGAAGGTCCCTGCTCACAGAGCTTACACACAAATATTGTTGAAAAATACAGACACGGGGGTCCCTGGTCACAGAGCTTACACTCTAATATGAATGGTACAATATAGCACTTACACTATAATATGAATGGTACAATACAGAGAAGGAGGTCCCTGCTAACAGAGCTTGCAGTCTAATATTAAGGGAAAATATCATTGAAAATACAGAAGTCCCTGGTCACAGAACTTACAGTCTAATATGAATAGCATAATACAGAGAATGAGGTCCCTGCTCACAGAGCTTACATTCTAATATTTTTGGAAAATACTGAGAGCAGAAGGAGATGCCTGCTCACAAAGCTTACACTCTAATATAAATGTTACAATACAGACACGGAGGTCCTTGCTCACAGAGCTTACAGTCTAATATGAACAGCACAACACAGAGAAGGAGGTCATTGCTCACAGAGCTTACACTCTAATATGAATGGTACAATACATAGAAGGAAATCACTGATCACAGAGCCTACAGTCTAATATGAACAGTGCAATGCAGAAAGGAAGTCCTTGCTCACAGAGCTTACACTCAAATATGAATGATACAATACAGAGAAAGAGGCCCTGCTTAAAGATCTTGCACTGTAACATAAACAGTACAATACAGAGAAAGAGGTCTCTGGTCACAGAGCTTACACTCTAATATGAATGGAACAATGCAAATAAGGTGG